GAGCAAAAGAGAAAAAAAAGCATATAGCGAAAGTGAATTTGCTCATTGCAAATGTTTTGTATTGTGCATCACTACTTTGCAATTCTTTAAGTCTAATGGACTTATGTCGTCTCCTGACAAGTATCACATGTTGAAGCATGCAGTGAGCGGACTCTTTATCTAAGTAGAAATTAGTCTTGGGGACTTTCTTATGTTCTCTTTAGATTATTCCACAGATTCAGGTTTGGGAAATGAGAAGAAAGTTAACTTTCTAACTGTCTAACTGGTGAATCATATCTTTGTTGACTTGGATATTTGGATGTTTAGATTAGATTAGATTAGATGAGCTTTATTGATCTCACAGCGGAGAAATTCACTCGTCACATATTGGCAAAGAAGTTACAGAAGGTGCAAACAAGGAGGAAAAAGGTGCATTAAGAATAAGCAATATATATACAGTATATACAGTATATCAATGTGTATATGTTTGCTTTGTTTACTAACCAAATGCTCCTGGCAGAGCACCCGCATTGTTTTTAAGATGTCCTAGTGGTTGACATACCCATTCAACAAGGACGGAAAAGGGGGACAAGAGTTTAAATTACAGGAGGATTAGACTTTTCAGCCTCCCTGGAAAGGTCTATGGTAGAATCAGAGATGGAAGAGTCTGGCTGATTGTTGAACCTTGTCTTCAGGACAATCAGTGTGGTTTTCATCGCAGCTCTGGAACAGTGGACTAGCTCTTGTAGTATGCTTTAGGGTTCAATAGTGTATACCCAAATGGACCTGTAGACCTGGAGAAGGGATTTGACTTGTCCCTCGTGGTGCACTGAGGCAGACGCTCCAGGAGTAAGGAGTTAAGGGCCATCTACTAGAGGGTGAAGAATAGAAGGGGTCTGGTCTGTATTACCAAAGTAGACCTGTTTCCTTTGCATGTTGGACTCAGACAGGGCTTGGCTCTGTCACTGATGCTTTTCATGGCTTTTATGGACAGATTTTCTAGGTGCAGCTCAGGGGGTCTGGTTAGGAGAACAGTGGATTACGTCTCTGCTTTTTTGCAGATGACTTTGTTCCTGCCAAGCCATAAAGCATGTGCTGGGGCATTATTGAGATCAGCTTCTCTAAGTGTGAGTCCATGTGTCATGATTTTATCTAAAGCTCGGACCCACATGCAGTGAAACCAATTCAAAGAGACACAGATGAAAAATTTAACAGGTTTATTGAAGAGTAAGGCTCGGTGCGGAGTTGCTCAGAACTCAGCTCGACCGGAACTGGAAGGTGAAGGGAAGACAAGACGATTAGTTCAGGCTCAGTGATATGGAGAAGAGGCTCTGGTGGTTGACTCACCTTTCCAGAGAAGTTGTAGCATCTTTGACTCCAATCTGTGTGCTGTTTTCCAGTGTTATTCTGATTCGGTCGAGGGCGGAACAGGGTTTACCCAGAACTCGGATGGTTGTTGGTGAACGGAGAAACTGACTGCCACTCCGATTTCCTGCGGTACTTGAACGGGACGTAATGGAGATGATTCCCTTGCTCAGAGAGTTAACTCAACGTCCTCCTCAAGGAAGAAGGATCCAAACCTCCTGTTTGAATCCCCAGCTCGGTTTGAGGCTCAGTTGATTCCTTCCAGGGAGAAAAGGTCCGAAAAGATCCAGTTTGCAGGAAGACTTCCTGCCGAGAGGCAAAGACAAAAACGAAATTAGAACTCAGGTAGAACAAGAACTCAGTCTTACTCAGCAAAAACTCAGTTTGGCTAGAGTACCCAAAACTGGCAAACACTCTGGCGTCGAGGTAGTGGCAATCAGCAGCTTAAGAGCACTCCGCTAACGAGGCAACCATCATCAAGCGTGTGAGGAGGCGGACCAGAACCAGGCGCCTCCTGCTGGTGGAAGGGAGAACAACACAAAAAGACAAAAACACAGACTGGAGTCCTGACACCATGGTTCTCAAACAGGAAAAGGTGGCTTGGACTCTACAGATACGTTTGATTTTAAGATGGATAGTGATAATTTGATATCAGTTTAACTATTCGCCAATATATGCTATTTTTTGAGCCAAATCTGGAAGCTGACATTCTTTCTTTCTCAACTTACATGATAAATAAGAAACAATAATAAAAAATGTTACACACAAGTCTCTAGTTTTACAACAACAAAAAAAGGCTCAAGTTTTACTTTTTCAGATTCCGATTTTTTTATATTCAATTTCAAACTGCTGTTCCTCTCTTTGTGGAGGCAGGGCTTTGATAACATGGGGTATGGAATAACGGCTGAGAGTTTAGGTGCCTGAACAAAATATTCACAGCCATTTCATTCAGGCATCATAGGCTGGAAATGTCTTAGAAGCATAATAAATAAAAAAATGTCTCCATGTGATTGGTTTAAAAAATGCTTTAGCATTAACATTTTGTCCTTTTCTTTTTTTAAATCTAAAAATATTGTTCAGATTAAAAAAAAAAACTTATTATGTATCTTCAGTTTAAATAAAATAAGTTTTTAAACAAACTTTATGAATCCAACTTAGCTCAACAGAACATTTAGAGAAGCGACAAAGCAAGCACTGCACATGATCTCAATGCATGGCAATGCACTAATGAATCAACCAACGCGTGCATGTAACAACTGATACTGCTACCAAAAATAACCTGCTAACATCGGCTAAAAATACCGCCTGGACCATTGAGCAAGGAATATGTCTCTCAGCTGACCCTCTGGGAAAAGTCTGGGCATCTTTGCTGAAACTGCTGCCCCTGCGACAGGTATGAGTCCTAGTGTTTCAGAGAATATATCCCACCATGCAGTCTGGCAAAGTTTTGCATCCTGTTAAAAGGAAAACATCTGAAAATCACAAATTTTACCCATTTATAACAGTGGGCATGTGGAGCTTTTTCACATAATCTTTTATTAACTCCAGACACTCCTGCATTTGTTGCAGATAAGGCCCATCTCATCCCATCTAGGGCTCAAATTAAAGTCTCTGAAAACTTTAACAAACTTTAGATGTTTAAGTTTGTGATGACAGGACAAAAAAAAGGACCTTTGCTGGCATCTCTGTGAATAAAAACAATTCCCTCTTAAATGCTGCCGTGACTCTAGATTTCAACAACAGTCTGCTATAGGCTTCTCTAGGACCCATTACCCGACTGTTCAAAAGTTACAAATGTTCTTTAGTTTAATGGCCTCTTTTCTTATAATCTGCATGTTGAAGAACTTTGTTTGAAAAGCTTACATAACTTTCCATTAAAAACAGAGAAAATCAGCTAACAGTGAAATAAATTGAAATTGACCGAAGTCATAAATAAAAATGATGAAAAATGGAAATAGTGACATTGATTTTAAATCTGAATGTATATAAAACAAGTAAACATGCCTGATGCAGCTCCTGAGCTAACATTTTGTTGAGCAACACTTTGAGGAAATCACTGAAATTAGCTGTTCTATGTAATGCTCCTGAGATGTGCAGTCAGACTTCTGCAGGTGTTGACAAGTATGTTGGTGCACTGTTCATGAGCAAGATCCTTTAATTCTTGTGGGACATGTTTTTTTTTTCTTCTTTTTTGATGTTAGTTACAGTTAGAGAACCAGGACTACACTGAAAAACAGGCTATTCTTGAACATCGGTAAACAAAGGTGTTGATGGCAGCTGCACAGCCGACACCCCTCTCTCGGATGATGTCACAGCCAAACAATAACAGACCAGATGCAGCTACTATAAGATCGAGCAGAGAGATTAAACAAAAAAATACAGCAGAATGGGAAAATATAGATAGAATGAAGCAGAAAAAATGTAAAGCGGTCCCTATGTCCTCCAGCAGTCTGATGCTTGGTTTATACTCGTTGAACAGGGCAAGAAGATGTGGGCACCAAAAGTGATGCAGTCTGCCATCCTCACCCGGAGCACAGACCTTGCGCACACCCTCCGCGCTGGGCTGTGCACATCCTTACGGTTTGAAGTCACAAATACTGCAGAATGGGAGAATAGAGATAGAATGAAAGAGAATGATATAAAGGGGTCCCTATGTCCTCCAGAAGTCGAATCCTAAAGCAGCATAACTATAGAGATAACTCAGGATGACATGGGCTATTCTAACTATTACCTTTATTAAAAAGGAAAGTTTTAAGCCTAGCATTAAAAGTAGACAGGGATTCTACCTTACTGACTAAACGGGTCGTTTTTCCATTTTATAATTATTGATTTTATAGAAGTTTGGTGGAAAAGGACAAAAGGCAAATTTAAATTAACAACAGAAATATTCAAAAGATAAAGAAGCCAAGCAATTCAGTCTGAAGCAAAATAAGGAGAAAACAGTCCTCATGGAGAGCACAGCCGTCTTGGCTGAGACGGACAAGTGAGAAACGCATGAAAACACAGTGTCATGGTAGACAGATGGCATGAATTGACAGAGATCAGACTTGTTTGCTTGGTATTTTGCTGCATCTCTGCGTTTTTTGTTGTTTATTTATGACATATTATGCTGCCAGAAGAAATTATGTGGCAGGGGGCGATGAGCAAAACGAGGGGGTATGTTTTTTGTATGCTCATTTTGCTTTCACACTCGTTAGTGTTTCAGGTTCCTCTGCCTGCTGGCATGTTCAGCTCAGCTCTGACTCACTGCGGCTCCAAAGCATGTTTGTTGGTTCTACAGTGGGGAGAATGTGAAAAAAAAAATGAAATAGCCATATGAATCAACAGTTGTGTGACAAACAGATCTACTCTCCAATCCTTTTCTTGCACTGATCTACAGTAAGCAATAAAAAGTAATGTTAATGTTGTGAGGAGTTGTGCTGTTGATGCATGTGTAAACATGACACAGTCATCCTTAAACATGCTAAAGCAGAAGCAGGAGCTTCAGGCAGGGTGTCTGGTCATACTGTTCCTGTGCTGGATGGAAATCAAGACCACTCTCCTCCTTCCTTCAGCACTGGGGAATATTCGTCTTCCAGTTCTGCAGCTTTTTAACCTTTTGAATATTTCAGAAAGGTTAGATAATGTTGTAATTAAGCTCTTCTTTGTGTCTGCAGATTCCAGTGAGACCGTGGCACCTCCCTGCGTGCATGAGTGTAAGGGTGTGAGTGTGTGTGTGTGTGAGAGCAAGTGAGCGCCAGCGCTCCCACATGGCCTCCATGCAGGACGGGCTGAACTTCACGGCTCCTCCCTACGGCAAGGTCCTGCTGCTGGGCGCTATCGCTGCTGCCTCAGCCTTTGTTGTTACCATCCTTATAGTGGTGCTCTGTGTGGGCTGCCAGAGGTGAGAGCAACACTGCATGCGCCACCGAACATCTTTCTGCATTTGAACTTTTGAGGGTATATTCTCTTTTTTGCAAAAAAAAAAAAAAAAAAAAAGTACAGATGGTGGGAAAAGTTGTCAAAATCCTGAAAAGATGTAGTTGTAGTGACTTTTTAAAATAATATATCTAGAGTGTTTAAAAATTAGGATTTTTTTTTATCTTTTCTTTTATTTATCACTGAAAATATTTTAGAAGAAAAAATTTATTTTTTAAACAATGATTTCACATATTAGCGAAACCCAAAAGGGTTCAATGTCAAATCATGACTAAATGTGATAAGTAGCGTTGGTTCGGTTTAAAGCAGCCACAGGCAGGCCAGATAGCTCTAACAATTTCAGAATAAGAAGTCACCCAAACAGAACCTTTCTAACGATGTGAAGTTGGCTTGCAGGCCTCAAGGACGCAACATATTATGCCTCAAACTAAATAATTCGAGGAAAAAAAAAAAAAAAAACTTCCTAATGGAGGTCTATTAGCATGGAAAGACTGTCAAAGCTGTATAAGGATCTGGAACTCCAGTAAACTAAACTACTAATTTGCATACATACAATCCTACCCCATGCTAGTACAGGGGAACCATTTAAGACAATGTTTATAAATGTTGTCAGACTGAACCCTCACAGGAATAGAAAGCCAACTCCATACAAAAAGACAGAGATTTAAACCCAGGAGAGAAAGGGGAAAGTGAAACCACTTGAAAAATTGTTCAGTCCAGAAATGAAAAACAAGATGGATTTATCAGTCAAGACTTGTTCTCCGTTTTACAGCCAAGCGCAGCTGTGGAGGTTGATGAGTGACGCTATGCAAGCAATTTAAATAAGTCCATCGTTTATTAAAAAAGCACAAAATTTATTTATTAAATATATAAATAACTATTTAGTGGTGTTGCACCGATACCGATACCAGTATCGGACGGGGCCTCGATAACGCCCTAAAATGGTGGTATCGATATCGGCGAGTACCAACAAATAGGGCACCGATACCATTCTGAGAGCCCTAAGTTTATTCAACTATTGTCACCCAATCCTGGTAGGCAATAAAAAGTTCTACTGGATTCACTTTGTATTAGATTTTTTTCCTGCTTCACAAAGGTAGGCAGCAGCTTGACAAAGCCATGATGGCAATTATTTTACATTATTATGGTATCGGCTGATACTGCATAGCCAGGTATCGGGTATAATAATCGGGGCCAAAAAATGGCATCGGCGCAACACTACTATTTAGTACTAGTTGAATATATTTAGTTCATTTTAAGAAGTGAATATATTTATTTCATGATTTAATAAATCCTTTCATGTTCCGGCGCTGAAACACACCATTAATTAATTTAAACTGTCACAAATCCATCAAAGTAGAAGAGGCGGGACTATGAGGCGCTTCCCTAGAACCCCCTAAAATCTGATTGGGTGCTTCTCACTGACCAAAATACGAAATCTTCTTTCTCATTTTCTTTTACTCTAATGTAAACACTTGGGTGAGCAATTGGGTAAGCAACTCCAGCCTCTATATATATTGTTTGATCTCTAAAAAGTTAATAAGACAAAGTGAGCTGGTGTTAGCTAGTGGGCGGGGCTAACTTTGAATCTGCTGAAGGTTCTGGCAGCTTATTAGATTTACTTTAGACCAAATTATGGATATAGAGGCTGCATTTGTTCACTCATTGTGCTGTTAATAAATTTAAACACCTTTCTGAAGTAATTTAAGCCTTTTCCAGAGATAATATCGACTTTAGAGTAACAGAAAATCAGGAAGAATTTGTTATCTTGTGTCAGGTTCATAAAATGTAGGTTTTTTCTTAAGAAAAACTGAAATACATGATTTATCGATACAATTCCTGCAGGAGGGAGAGACAGTTGAACCCCAGACTCAAACGCACGTCTCCCACTGGACCTCCTCTGCAGAGCATTTATTAACAGAACATGACGCATTGTTACAAACAGAGTATTGTTCTGACAGAACTGATCAGTTCATGAAGACAGAATGCTCCATCAGAATGACAAGGCAGGATGGTCTCCTGACTGGATCATGAGACAGGAGTGGAGCATCCCCTTTCAAAAATGTTTTATAAGCACACATTAATTTTATAATCATCATTGAATAAACCTGACATCTTGCCTAAATAGAAGCAACCAATCAGATATCAGGGATTCTGTGGGAGCAGCCTTAGTCCCGCCTCCTTGACCTTGATGGTTGTGTGACAGTTTGAATTAATTAATGAAATGCTTCAGGCACATCTAATAATTTATTGAATCATAAAATAATAATTTTTACTTCATTAAAACAAATTACTAAATTTGACTGAGGCCTGTATCATTAATCATATATTTATTAAATAAATTCTGTATTTACTCCCAATTTTGATAAATTAATAACAAATCTAGATGATAACTTTATCATAGATATTTATTTATTGAATTGTGGCATATATCAGTCTCCATAGTGGAGATTCATTATTTGAAATAATTTGTAAGGATCTTAAATCGGTTTTAGAAAATAAGGCTTTCACAAAACTAAACTTCTCACAAAAAATAATATTTGAGCTTTATTCTGATGATCCAAGTTAAATCCTTCTAAGTTTGCCCTTTAAGTTTATGATTATTTAATATTTGTTTTATTATTACGATATTTAACCTAAGTGGTATGAGGTGGTAATGATGGAATAATAAGAAATAGAAAAAAAAAAAAACAGAGTAAAGAAGATGCAAGTTAGGGTGTGTTTGAGTCACCTGCCAGGGCTATAGTTAACTAACGTAAAAAGAAAAATAAAGTAATACTGATTTAAAGGAATATTTTTTGTTAACTAAAAAGAAAACCTCCAGAACATGTTCCTCTTATGCTCCTGCATGCCTACTGAATACACATTAGGCATGTCATGCCAAAGGAGGGAAAAAGTGAAAATTAAAACAAATATTGCTGTGGAGGGCAGCCGAGCATGTCCGGTTATTATTCATGGAGAATCAAGTCAGGTTAACGCAAAAACAAACAAAGCTGCTCAGAAAAGTTCTGCTTACCAGACTGATAATGAAGTAGAGCTGTATCATTCATGTGAGAACACGTTTCTTAAAATCTTTTCCTTTGCTGCTGTTTAATTTATTACAAGTCCAGAAATATTAACTATTTATCGTTTTACAAATCCTAACTTTCTCTGTCAAAGTTTAATTTATTTCTTTGTACTGTAAATCAAATATCACTTTACTCAACGACAGAAATATTTTTGTGAGTTAACAGTCATTTCGTCTTTGCACATGCATTCAGTTCTTGGCTTTAATGCACCACAAGCAGGCAGATGTGCAAACACGAATCAGTGTTGTTCCCTTATATGCAGTCACACAATGACTCAGCTTTGTCCAAAAAGTGACTCAGGCACAAACGCTGCACACTATCAGTGCATCAGGTTTGCATCCTATATGACGGCCTGCTGTGTGTTTTATCGCAGGAAGGGGAAGACACACAATGTCCCCGGTGAAGGTGGAAAACACCGCCTCATGGACGTGGTAGGTATCAAGAAATCAAACATGTTAATATCTTGATTTGACCTAAACCAACCATCGAAGTGTATCACAAAAAATATGGACAATTTGCATCCATCATTTCTTTATTGTTGCAAATAAATGCTTCTCACTAAAAGCATTTTGTCTTTAAAAGGTGCCACAGTTGTGAAAAAAATGCATTTCTCAGCTTAACCTCACAGTTGGGTATGTTGGTTGTACGCATAAAACAAATTAGCTAGATCCTTTCTTTTAACTCCTAGCAGCTTATTTAGCTATTTTCTACTTTTGGATTTAATGAAATAAAAAAATAAAAAAAGACATGTTGACCATTTAGAAAAATGATTAACAGGGACAAACAGGGAAATCCGTATTGCTTCATTTGCATCTTATTACTGTAGGTAGAATCTTGACTAATTGCTGGACAAAATGCTGCAAATAGCTCTGCGCTGGTTGTGCTTTAACTCTTGGCAGCCTTCCAAGCCTGGTTCTGATTAGTTTGTTCTGAGTTTTCTGGGCCGAGCTGATAGCTTCTCCAAACCTTTATCTGTAGAGGGCTGCCTCAGTGCTGACAGGGTTGGGGGGACGGTATTGTGGTGTGATGTTCCTGTGATATTATATTCGCTGCCTGTCTAAAGTCTCAATTGAAGCTTTGATTTTTAAGGTAGCAGCATCCAAGCTCTAACATGGTGCTACCTTTGGACATCTGACCATCAGTACTTCGGGTTCCACATGTTCAGAACAAGATGAAGCTGTTGAGTTTTTCATCATTGTAATAAAGGTCCTTAAATTCCTTTTTAACAACCCGAGTAAAGATTAAACAAACTCGGTCGTAAAAAAATATATGTTCTTTATTAAACAAAAAAATTATTTTCCTCTCTTTCTACAACACTGATGGATTAAGGTAGACAATATAATATTTGAACTCAAACCCGCACTTCCAGAGGTACAGTAAGGTTTCACAGCAATAAGGTGAAAAACAACCACTGAACACTGCAAACGATCAGATATAATATTGTCTACCAGCTCACAGTATGCTTGGCGGAGTGACCAAGGAAAAAAAAAAAACAAATCAATGGAAAAAAGATAAGAAAAAAACAAAAAGTTAGTCCTCCCTCACAAGCGAACAATGGGACCAAAGACACCAAATAGGGGCGGACTAACTAAGAAAAACAAAACATGAACCGAAGGACAGCAGGAGCAACAAAAAATATCTCTGTAAACAAACAGAAAACACCCAAAAAAAATGCAATCAATGTATAGTTTTAATTACTACCTTAAAATCTCTAAAAAATACCTGCGTATCGTGTACATCGCCCTCATCTGCCCGCATACACAGCCTGGTCTAAAAAACCTGCAGGGCCTCCTAATCAAGGAAACAAAAACGGTTAAAATATACATTTGTCCTAATAAAAATCCAATATAACCCCCACTCTTTAAAAACACTCACCCACATTCTTGACGAATGTATAACATGCGTGGAAACAAGAGGCGTCCTGGCATCCCACGGACACCTTCCAAGAAATGCTCACAGCTTCCGCTTTTATACTGCCTGGACAACGCCCACCATACCACCTGTAACACCTTGAAGGATTTTGTGATTTTGAAAAAAAAAACCTTCAAGGTCCTGGTTGGTTTGTGCACAGCCTTAAATCATCACCTCCCTTAAATGTCCTTGTTCACGTTTTATCATTTTTGGTTTGTGTGTTTTTTTCCCTTGTAGTGAACATGTGCCTAAACAGCAGTGGAGTTTTCATTGTTTTTTCAGGTGAATTGAGGAACCATGTTGTCATGGAGTCATTGTGATCTAGTGCCATGTAGCGGTTCCCAAACTTTTCTTGCTGGGCCACTTTTTGTTCACAAAGAAGTTTACGGGCCGCCTAAATCTTTAATGTGGTCTCAACCTTTTCAACAATTAAATAGAGGAAAGTCAAAAGCAGTAAATTAAAAAATTGCAATAAAATAAACTACAGTCTGTTTAAAAAGTGCTTAACTAGACTTATATCAAAATTATTTGTTAACTGTTTATTGTAGTGTGTAACAGAATACACTGGAAAAAATCTAAATCTAGATAAGTCGTTATTTCTTAAAATAAGTGCAATTTTTCTTGGATTGAGGAGGAAAAAGATCCACTTTGCCAATAAAACAAGACAAATTACATTAAAAATAAGAAAACATGTTCGCATCGTCTTATTTCAAGTGCATTTTATCTAAATATCTTATTTTAAGAGTAAAAGCATTCATTCCATTGGCAAACTATCTCACTTACCTACTCGAATTAAGGGTAAATGCATGTAATTTGAAAAATTTTGACGTATTTCTAGATTGTTTTTCCAGTGTATAACACAGACACACACACACGCATGTTTGTTCTGCTATATGTAGTGAGGACCATGTGTTAACTCCCATTGTCTTCCATTAATTTTCAATCATTTTCAACCCATTCTGTGCCCTAACCCTAAAACTAACCATTAGCAAAATAGCTTGTGAGGACCAGCAAAATGTCCTTACTTTACAACACCCGGTCCTCATTGTCATGGTAAAATAAGAGAAAATAAATGTAAACACGCCTCTCAAACTAGGTCATGTATTTAATTCATTTCTGCCACACCCATGCAGGGTCATGGTTTGCATAGGGACCATAGGGACATGTCCCTAACAAAATTTTGTGAATAAAATGCTTATAATTTACAATCCAGCGTTGTTGCAGCAGTCGCTTCTTTTCTCACAACTTGTATATTGAAGTCGATATTTTAAATGCTCAGTGTTAGTTCCTGTTATAGTTCCCACACCCACTCTATTTGCAGTCCCTTCAATATGTTATTTTGCTTTTTTTTTTTACAATACAGAAAATTTCGGTATATCAGATAAAAAAAACAACATAAGAGTGGGTTTTACCTCTGTATATTACCTGTAGAAAACACCGGATAAATACAACAGACATATTTAGACTATATTTGGTTAAAAAGGCACATATTTACCCTCGTCTTAGTCCCTGGTAAGTCCAAATGTAACCTTATTCAGAGTGTAAGGTTGTCTCAATTTTACACACTGCCAATGGAACAAGAAAATTTACATTTAAAATAAGGAAACAAAATTGCATTGTCTTATTTCAAGTGTATATTATCTAATTATCTTATTTTAAGAGTAAAAATACTCTTTCCTTTGGCAAACTCTTTCATTTACCTTCTCAAATTAAGGGCAAATACACTTAATTTAGGACATTTTTACTTATTTCTAGATCATTTTTCCGAGCCACTGATGCTTCAAACATTGATAAACAGCATCGTTTGTGTATTCCTTATAACATTTGTATAAATGTAGCAAAAAAATGCTGTTTTCTCTTTAAACGAAATGTGCCCTGATGCTTATGTAGAGCATAAAAAAAAAAAAAATAGGAGCATGCATAATTCGTAGGACCAATGACATCAAACCAATTCAACTTAAGACCAATAGTGTCCCTACCAAAGTTGAGATCCAACCTACGCCCTTGTACAGGGTGCAACCGGCAATTTAGAAACCATTCTAAGCTGTAGGAGTAGTTAAATGCCTCTCCTGAGAAAACTGGTCCTGGAAAGTCCTTGAAAGGTCCTGATATTTGAAGTTAAGCAGGGTTTGTGAAAGCTGAGTGCATTCTTTTTACAAATGTGGTGCAATGTAGTGGAAATCTAAAGGTAGTTTCATGGTATAAATGTTACAAAATAAAATAATCAACCCAACAAAAGTGTCATTATTTTGTCTTTAATTTAATCTGACTTGTTTAAACACAAAGCAAGATAGTCATGTAATAACCATTAACAATCATCTAAGTCACTTCCTTATTAATACATGTGTGCGTTTTCAGGGTATACTCAAACAGTCAAAGCTGCGGTCCATCAGTAAATCTGATACCGAGATGAACAAGATGAACTGCAATGGCAAAAGTGAGTGCTTCCTTTGCATTTAAGTCTTGTTGTGTGCTCCTGTAAAGTGTACCTCGTGGTTGTCATGGAGAAACTGCTGTTGTTCTTTTCACTGCATGACAAAATAATTTCTGTGTCATTCAAGTTGATTTTTGGGACATGAACGCAAAGCATCGGGGTATGATCTGTAAGTATGATTTACTTGTAAGCATAAAAAAAAAAGCAAAGCTTGAGTTTGAAGGTCATTGCAGTGTTTACTGGACACATTAATATATGTTCGGGACCAAATTATCTCAAAATGAGATCAAATCTGAGGAAATAAGATGAGAAATTAAACCGCAAACAGAATTCACATCATATTGAAGATTTAGCTTTATTTAATTAAGTCTTTTCAAAAACCTAATTTATGAGCATGGATCTCTTTCTCTAAGAGACACCAATCAGAGTGCCAAGACGACTCCTGGAGCGCCTTCACTCAGAGTCACCAGAGAGCTGCGTTTCTGGGCACGGAGACAGTCACCCAGGAGGTTTTGAAAAATAGAAACATATGTCCTGCCTCATACTTGTCCCGCTTCCACTGCAATGTGTTGAAGCCAGTTTGGATCCAAAACCTCAAACATCTATGTCAGTTCCCAATTCCCTGTCACTTTCAGATTTTCCTTCGTCCCACGTTCAGAAACTCTTAGTTAAATGAGGGATGTGAATTCTGTTTCCTGAAGGGCATCAGCTGTAGAGGGAGTATAACAGCAGGCAGTTGCCATGCAGAGGCATAAAATAAGATACGTCCAGCCAGCATGGACCTTCTGCTGCTGCCCAGCCGCTGGTCTAACTCTGACCTTCGTTCTCAAGGCAGGCAGCTTCCCCAGATCCCCTCTGGGACTGGAGAGGACAGCGAGCACACTTATTCAGAAGTGGGCCAACGTTCCTCCACTACACGTACTGACGATGCCCTCTACGCCATGGTAGGCAGGGCCGGGCAGACGGACACTCCGGCCCCTCCGGCCGTTCCAGCCAACACCCCGGCGCCCCCTGACCCAGATGGCGAGGTGGACGGAGGGCTCCCTGAACCCGAGGCGCCGGTCATGTCTCCCCCGCACCCTCCAGAGACGGCGGAGTACGCCTGCGTCAGGAAACTGAGGAAGGCTGAAAAGGCGCCTCAGAAGAGGGACAGTGGGACGGATATGGCGGAGCCACCAGCGCCGCCTCTACGCCACGGGCCGCCTTCGCATCCCGCCCCTCCACCGCCACACCCCCACAGCACAAAGTTGCCTCGTAGAAACATTGAGGCCTTCAATGTCCCATCATTTCCAAAGGTTCGTACAATTTAATATTTTGTCATATCTTTTTAGTCTGTATTTGGAAAACAGACATTTATAAAGTTAAAAACTGCAGATATCTTAAGATGCCTTCCTGCAGACAACAATACAAAAGTTACCAAACGTACCTCACAAAAGTAAACCCAGCCTTTATATTTTTATGTATATTTCTTCATGGAAAAGTTGCTGTAACTATGAACATGGCGTTTATTAAAGCTTTGTTTCCCACTAGAATAATCTTTCCTCCCTCAAGATGAAACTCGTAGGATTGGTGGGTGTTAGAGACATCACACTCCTAGTGTTAATGTTTAAAGACTTGCTTAGCACCTTTACTTTCAGTTACGTTAGTAATTTAATTCAATTCAATTCAGTTTATTTATATAGCGCCAAATTCACAACACATGTCATCTCTTTACGGTTCAACCAGATCATACAGTCAAATTGATATAAAGTTTTCTATCTAAGGAAAACCAGTTTATTGCATTGACTCATTGACTCAAATACAATCCCCCACACTAAGCATGCTTGTAGAGACAGTGGAGAGGAAAAACTCTCTTTTAACAGGAAGAAAACTCCAGCAGAACCAGGCTCAGTGTGAGCGGCCATCTGCTGAAGCCGACTGGGGTTCAAGGAGACAGAAGCAGAGACACAAAAAGAAGCTGTAAAAGGCGGCCCCGTCCAGGAAACACACAGCCAGGCAGACGAGCTCCAAGCCAGCTCCCATGCCAGAGGACGAAGAGAGCACATCCAGCTAGTCACAGTCAGAGAAACAGGACCACACTGGAAAACAGGCCGATCTCCAGCATCTATAAACAAGGGTGTTGATGGAAGCAGCACAGCTGATGTTTCTTTCCAGGATGGCGTCACAGCCAAACAGTAAGAAACGAGGCAAAGCTACTCTGAGGAAAAGCAGAGAGAGCAGAAGGTTAGAGATTGAACTAACAGATTCTGCAGAATAGAAGAATAGAGAGAGAATGAAGCAGAATGATGAAATAGGGGTCCCTATGTCCTCCAAAAGTCAAAGCCTATAGCAGCATAACTATAGAGATAGCTCAGGATAACCTGAGCCACTCTAACTATAAGCTTTATCAAAAAGGACAGTTTTAAGCCTAGCCTTAAAAGTAGACAGGGTGTCTGCCTCACGGACTAGTAAGGCAGTGTTCATCTGGTTGGTGTTTTATTTCGGGCATTGTTGTGCTGGAATATTGCCTTCTGGCCCAGTTTCCTAAAGGGACAGTATCCTGGTCTGAGCACATGGTTCAGCCCTGGTTCATTCATGGTTCAGATATTACAACCACCATTCTCCACTGTAGGCATTTGCTTCATGCTGTCTTGCCACCACGCACACTTCACACCATTTAAACCATCTGAATCACCAGCCGCTTCTTTTTTTTTACTTTAATTTGTCAGGCAGATGGATTTTGATGTGTTGTTTTTTTCTAGTGACCATGACAAACCGCAATAGCTGATGTTTTAAACACTCTTACTGTTCTCTTGAAAAAGGAATTGTACATTTTGACATATGTGATGGCAGCAAATACACGTGCATCCTCCTGCAAGAATTTATCTCGCAGGCAATAATACGAAAACGTAGGAAGATTTGAAAGGTTCTTTAGTTCTTCATAAGTCAAATCAACAACAGGAAATTAGATTTTGTATTTATTACTCATCTTATATTTGTTTGGTTTCAGTAGATGATGATTTATCTTAAACATTTAAGTGCACTAAAAAGCAAAAGCAAATTTACTCCTAGTGCCAAATTAATCTGACTTTTGTCCATCTCACCGTTCCCCGCTCTTTACCCCTCTTTTTCTTTGCCTTTTTCTTTATGTTTTTAGCTCCAAGCACCTTACCTGATTAAGCTGGTGAAGATTCTCAGTCATTCAGGTCATAGTTATTCCAGGCTAACAAAATAAGCCAAACGACCCCCATTCCAAAGTGGTGGACCCCTTCGGAATCCGTTTCTATTTGCATTTTTTAAAACAAAAACAAGGTTTTGATGGGTTGCTGTATAAAATCAACACTATTCCTGACATTTTGAATTGAAAATCTTCCTGGATGGGAAGCAAAACATCTTCAAACTTGGAAACAAACTCTTCTTTTTTTGGCTTATCTGATTAACATACCTGCCTCTCCAGGTTTTTGACTCCCAGCTTCCTACTTTCCCCACAGATCAGAGCCACATCTGCAAGCATCATAATAAATGGAAACTGCTGCTTGACCTGAAAGGCAACTTCCAACAAGGATCTGAGAGATTACCATGTTTCAGGGGGATCTGTAAATGAGAAAAACGCAAAACATTTTAACAGTGCTGCACAAATTAAATGAAAACAAGCATTTAATAAATCCGTTGTGATAACCTTCTTACTATAAAGTTTACACCATCCTAAACACTCGGTTTGAATTGAGAAAGCTTCCTGGAGAGGTGGCGAAACGTCTTCAAATCTTGGAAACCAAGTCCAGTGGATATTTTTTGAATTTTTACGGAATGACTTTGACCTGGATGACTGAGAACCTTCATCAGCACACCGGTAGAAGCAGCTCTTTATTGGCCCAGTTTTATGTGTGCAGCATCTCTAACTTTCCTGCAAACACTTCAGCGTTTTACAACTTTTAATCATTTTAAAATAAACCCAGAGTATGATGCTGCCACCACCATATCTCACTGTGGGTATGGTTTTATTTTGGTCTTGAACATTGAATCAGAAAATGGCTTCATTTGACCATTCTTCCACAAGGTTTAACATATTTTAGTCAGATTTGTTAGTTTTCTTCAGAGGAAACTGATTCCTTCATGAAACCCTATATTCTAGAAGAATATGAATCACAGGTAGGAAACCATAATTACTTGCTAAGTCCTCAATCAGTTTATGTCTGGCTATAGCCATATGATGCAAGCAAGCAAAACTCAAGGAGCACAAATTAAGTGTTAATAAATTCACTGTAATTAATAGGTGTAAGCTCTGAAAGTAAATTGAAATGGGCTTTACAGCAATATAATAAGGATATGCACATTTATCCAATACTTTTATGGAGTGCATGTGGTTATTTTTTTGCCTTTTTACCTTCCTAACAAATTTTTTTGTTTTTTAAGGGAGGTTGAAATGTAGAGAAGGTTTGCAACACATATAAATTTTTTAATTTCCTATGGTTAAAAGACATTTTAACGGGGGTGCAGAAAACAAAACAAGGTTAAAAATGAAAGATCACCTCTTTTAATTTTGTGTGAGAAACGTTTTTTTTTTTCTTTGGAGTTTGAAGAGCATCAATCAGATTTTTCTCTAAATTCTGTGGAGGACCTGCAGGGCTGTAATTCTGCCAGTGATAGTTTCCCTTGGCCCTCGGCTGTTCGGATGCGCTGGCACTTCTGTAAAAATCTCTTTGAAGTCCAGGCAAGGAGCTTGTTTATTGGTCATAAGGTTTTTACTGATTGTTGGGATGTTTCTGCCTTCAACTGTGTCACCTCCTCCATATGTTTGCAGCAGCTGGACTGCAGGTTGTCTGACTCTTTGCTCCCCTCCAGATGACACCATTTGTTGCCCCATTTGAGGTCAGGAAGGTTACGCTATCTGCTGTGACCAGGGTTCATTTACACGCACAGTTCACAGGCTTACATGAGAACGCAGTCTGATCAAAGGTCTGTTTGCCACGGATTTTCTTGTGGATGATGCAACTCAGTGAAATAGAGTCATCTACAATAGAGGCACCTGCTTCTTCACAGGCTCCACCTTTTAGGGAAAATCTCTTCAGCGCTCTATGAAATCCATTTAACACGACTCCAGCAATGTACCTATTCTTAAGAAGGGTTAATTTGTCATCCATGAGCCCGTTTCAAATTGCACTTTTTACAGTCAAAGAGGTCCTCCCATCTCTGCAGCCACATTCCTTAACATGCGAGAAACTTTGTCCTAAAGTATGATTAAATGCTTTGTTAACAGGAAGTGATGTTTATGGGAAACGGAGAGCAGTACATCTGGAAGCCTCCAGAGGAGGATGACATGCTGATGCTCCAGAATAAAGCTCTGGGTCCACTGGGAGCTCATACAATGGAGAATTTACAACCATCTGCAGCAGTGGTGAGTGATGAAGACTTATAATGGGATTAAAACAGTCTGTCATGCCCAGAATACAATATAAATATTTAAATCTTAGTTTATTTGCATTCATCAAAAAGAAAGTATTCATTCCCCTCAACCTTTTCCAGATATTTTCCCACCAGAAAAACTGGTTTGTCCCCTAAAACGAATGGCCACATCAAAGTATTGTCAAATTTTGAAGTAGAATAAGTGCATGCAGAGTTTGGAGTTTCCAATATCTTGTAAGAACACTTTCTGTTGCAATGAAATGTGTAAGTCTGGAGGTGCATGTCTTTTTTTTTTTTTTTGCATGTCTTTAAGCGTGGATGGAAAGTGACACTGAGTCCGAACCTAAATACATGTTTTCCAACATATTTAGATCTGGGGGAGGGGGGTGGGCTGGTAGAACAAATTTTATCTTTTTAATCAATCTATTGATAGCAATTTTGAATCTTGTTACATGTTAAGATAAACAGGTGAAATATAAACAGCTAATTTACTGAAATATGTAATTTACTAAAGTTGACTTTGTTCGTTCAACTGGTTTACTGTTGTATAAGCTGGAGTTGGTCCTGGAGTTGGTCCACTGAAAAAAAAGTTAACTTTTTTTTATTTCATTTCAGTATAATATGAGAAAATATGACTTTTTTCCTCAGAATTCTGACTTTAATCTCAGAATTCTGACTGAATTTTGACAGCTAAGAAACATGTTAGCATCAAGCTGTAGCCATGTCTGTTTTAGAAATTAAACTAGCTCTCGTTTTAATCACCTTCTGCTTTTCCATTAATGAAATAGCATCACCGAGGACCCCTCGGGCATGTAAAAAGTTGCCTAATTCCGTCATTTTCCACCAATGTGTCACTGCCCCTCCCAAACAACTCACTCTATCAGTGAAGCTGAGTGCTCCCACATCTCTTCCTACATGGTGCCCATCTGCATTAAGATCCAACATTCCGAGATTTAAGTCAGAATTCTGAGATTAAGGTCAGAATTCTGACTTTTAATATAATATATAATATAATATTTAAATATATAATATAAATATATAATATAATATTTAAAAATAAGTTCCCTATTTTTTTTCAGTGGCCCTAATCCTCTTCCATTCAGCCCTAAGGTTGAGAAAGGAGTTTTTTATGTATAATAATATATGGAAAGTTATACAATCACAGTTAAAATATCTAACTTCTAAGTATATGTTTCATAAATCTTAATAAAACAAATACTGATACTATAAATACAAATACAAAAACAGTTTTACCTTTAGCCCTTAGAAACGCAACTAAAATAGATCAAGTTTGTTTCAAGGTTTTTGTAAAGGTAATAGACTCTGATGAAAACACAGTTGGTATAAAAACCTTTGTTTCTGCGATGTATTTCAAATAAAGCTGAAAACAAATCAGGGAGGTCCTTCCTTTTCTGCCTTTACTTGATTAAATGTTTATTTGGTTGCTACTAGTGATACGATTTAAAGCGAGGATGTATCTCCTTTTCCTAAGCTTGTGATTACTTTTAATGAAGGTCATATCTGTGCAGTGTTTTATTTTAGCTCCCTGAAGCACTTTTCACTTCATTGCTCAGTAGACGGATTGAATAACATTTGTACTATCATGCAGAAAGAAAAACAAACTTCTATATATACCACACACTTTGCTTCACGACCTGGAATAAAAACAACTCTACACATCTAGCAGGCAGCATTTCATCAAGCAATAATTTGATGGTCTTCTTCAGTCAGATGTTCCGATCTGGTCTGCAACATGCCTGTTAGCTTTCATGTCTTTTCATTGCTCCAAGTTGCTCTTTCGGCATTGGTTATTCTAGTTTTCACAGTGTGGAGATGATCGTTTGCTGCTGATTGCATAATTAGTTAGATGATATAAGAAGAGATACCAAAAAGTACCTGAGATTCATGGGAGGAATAAAGCACAGAGCAAAAAGCTCATAATCTAGTCACTACATTATTATTATTTTTTGAACTTTTATGGAAATACATTATTATCCCCAAGCAAAAGACACCTATTTACTGTCAAATACCAATATCAAGCAATCATCTCTGTGCCACGCTGCGCTGATGCATTCAGTCTCGTTTATCTTATGTAATATGCTGATTGCCTTAGAAACTATTTGTAATTTCTATTATTTGTTTGCCATAATCATCTAAATTAAATATGTTTAGGTTTGAAGAAAGAAGTCCCTTATTCTGCAATTAATCTATGTAATATTTTTGTTTCCCTTTCTGAAATGATTGACAACAGATATTCGAAGAATTTTATGATATCCGCTCTTTAAATGTACCTGTAATCAAGCAAGTATTGTCTAGATTCTAGTTATCTAGAGAATAATTTTGTAGTTTTGAGATCAACTAAGTATAAGTTTGTAACTTGAATTTTAAGTTGCTTTTCCATCTTCTCTTCTGTACTTATCGTTTTAAATCTAGCTGTTCTTTTAAGGTTTAAAATTGTTAGTCATTGAACAATAAAGAAAGCATCTTCAGCAAGAGCAATGAACAAAGAGGTCAGGGTTAAAAATTGTTAGGTTATCAACACAGTAACTAACCTTTTCATACCTCACGTAACTGTTTAATCATTCATTCTGAAAGCAGAGAGAGTGGGAGAGCAGAAAACCTACAAAGACATTGTTATCTACCTAATGTTTACCTCCAGGCAGGGATAACATTAATCATGTTACCTCTGGAGGAGCTGCAGAAATCACACCTCAGGATTTCAGGAAAACATTGATTTTAATCTGTGCCAGGAAAAACTGTAAAGTAAAACTAATGCTAAAAAAAACTCTGAAAATGTCACCGTCTTCATGAAACAGGCGCTTCAGAGGGAATGTTTCGATCAAAGAACATTTAAGTGATAGAATGGTTTAAAGTCAAGACCTGAAATCTAAGAGGATCTTTGACCTGAAAATCTTTATAAAAGAATTAAAAGCTATTAGGGTTGTATAAATACAAATTTTTTTGAAAGAGGACTTTGTCAGCAGTAAAGAGAGATCATTTAAACAAAATTAACAGTTTTAAGGTTAGTCTAGCCTAACAAGTGTCCATCTTTAAAGGACAAAATCCCTAAACAAGTTTTTAAGTCTCTGAATAAAGAAATTCAAAATTTTTTCTGTGTTTCCAGGTGGCTGAGATGTACTCCAAAGTCTGCAAACCTGGCAAGAAGAAGAGAGCGATGCCAGGGTCTCCACCAGCCAACCTTGGCTTCCGGACCTTAGGTCGAGGCGACTGGGACCGGGATCGAGACGGTGGATTCAGTGTGGTGGTCAAACCTCAGACATGGGCCCCTCAAGAAGGCAAAGCAGCTGGGGGATCCCTGGACGACCACTGCTACGAGTCCATCGGCACGGAGGAGTGCGATCAAGCGTACGATAACCTGGAAGGTGGAGGCGCATGGAAAAGGGAGAGGCCTCCGAACACATGTGCCACCCTTCGACCAAGGAGGAAGAAAGCCCAGCAGCCCCTGCAGCAGCAGCATCCTCCACCCCCGCCGCCCACGCAGCAGACCCCCAAGTTACAACACCTGCCTGCCAAAGCCCTGCTGCTGCCGGGAGAGAACCTGTATGAGAGCATCGGTGACCTGAAGCAGGGCTCCGCCACATCCAGCACCACCACCATCTTCACCTTTAACGACGGCATGGAGATGTATGTTACAGGGCTCTGAGGCAGCGGCTGCACTGTGACCCCCATCGACACCGCGAGGAGTGACTGCTGGGTCCCTGTCATGCTCACCCACACATACTGTTTACATTTAAGTCATAACATCAGGCCTTTCACAGGCTCCAGAGGCCTTGGGTGGTAATGTTGATCTGTTATGACCTGGGCTGAATACAAAGTCCTGTCTGCAAACCTTAAAAGAATCCAAAGGTAGTAAATAATAAATGAGCACAAGACCATCACAGAGCAATCTGTAGGCAAACAGTAGCACTTCAGTTTTACTGATACGTCTGTGCAAAGCACAATAAAGTTAGAAGCCTAAATTCTTCCTCAATTGTTGCGGGTAAAAATAGTCCTTTATTCGGTCCGAGCCGGACCTCTAATTGGGGAATTATTTTAGTAGCACTTCCCTGTATATTTGACCAGATGTGATTTAGGATAGAATTTAAATGAAACATAAATAAAAAAAAACTCTTGAAAGCTCAGGGATCAAGAATTATATAACCAAGTATTTTAATTAAAAAAATAATTGCACACATATTGCATTCCTCCTAAACGCTTTGACAAATTAAGACCATTTCACCTTAACAAAAAAAAACAAAATAAAAGCCAATCTGATACTTCCCTCCATGAAGTTTCACCCGACATGGACTGAACACTGTCTCCACTGCTGTCTGTATATGAGGTGTTTTACTTTGTTGATCCTGTTCCTGCACTTTGCCTGCTACGAGATGCATGCCTAAAAAAAAAATAAATAAATTAAAAAAAATAATAATAAAAAAAAACAAAAAAAACAAGCTCTGTATGTGGTTTCTCTATATAAATGTTTTTATTTTCATCCGTAGTTGTTTACCTTTTTTTTTTTCCTGTTTTTTTTAACCGTGTTGCTTTATTACTCTGTGGAGCCGGTTTGATGAAGGATGTGTTTGGCTTAGTGGAGATCTGTGCAGCCGAGGAGAGCGTCTAAATCCTCTGCTGTGCCTACGATAAACACACGAGCTCAAATGAATCCAGGAGAACTGTTCGAGTCCTAAACGTGGAGACCACCCACCCCCACCGACCGCCCCTTCCTTAACACGCCCCTGTCTGCTCAGTCACATCTGTGGATCATCAGAAAATTGTGTTAGCAATTGTCATGTCTCAACATCACTCCATTGAGGAAAACTCTGTTATCGGTGTTAAAATATATCGCAGGAAAGAAAAAAAAAAAGACATAGCAAAAGAGCATCAACCGCCCCCTTTTTGGATAAAACCGTTAAGTTTACATCCAAAACCTGAACAATAACAGAAACGTCACTCAACCAAATATTCCCAAAACAAACAATGTGATACTGTATGTTGATGCAACGTGTATGTACATGACAAAAAGAAAAAGAATAATAAATATATCATCAGTGTCAAGAAATCTATCTTTTTCTATTATGTTCAGTTGTGTTTTTTGGAATGACTTATATTGTGACACAAAACTACAAAACAGCTGCATTGTAAAAAAAAAAAAAAAATTATTCCGTGTTAATCTCTCTGTTTGTTGTTTTATCGAAGCCATGAAGCTCTGTTGTGTTCTTGGAAAAAGCCCTGCTAAGTTTTAAATGTGGCAGCTAATGTTGTGTGTTTGCTATCCAGACTACAGGGTCTTGTATTCGAAAAAGCGTGTAATTTAAGTGCTAAAGTGCAAAAGATTGTAATGTTTTATATCAAGAATACTATTCATGAAATGTCAAGTCAAGTTTATACTTTTGTAATAAAGTGGCACTTTAAAAAGAAAAAGTTTTATCTCATAGTTTCGCTCATTAAAGTTGAGGGAAATAAGCAAGAAGCTTTTCTGATGTTAGAAGCTGCCTGAGGATTTTTATTTTTAGCCTAAAAATAAAAGAAAGAAAAGTATTTGCATACTTTTCTGTTTCTATTTCTGGCTTCATTTTAGATCTGAAGCTTGTGGTAGTTCAGGAGTTTTGAAGGAAGGTTCTGTTTAAAGGTTATATGCAGTCAATATCTTACTCTCTATATTTATGCCTCGTTTGATTTGTGAACAGATGTCGGATCTCAGGATGAAATCTCACCCATGCTGAGCTTGTTATATAAGCATGTCAGAAAAACTGGGGGATTTGCTAATTGTTTTGGCGGCAACTATTATTAGCAAAACAGGCGGAAAGGAATGATTCCCCTCTTTTTAATGAACTAAAAAGGAAGTAGCACACAGACAGAAATGGCAGGGCTGCATTTAGTAACTGAGTGACAGAGGGGGTAAGATGTGGTCGTCTGTTTCGCTCATTAGGGAATTTGTAATCCGTCCCTTCTACAACGATCCCTCTGCCAACCAGGCATGTCGGGGGGCTCTACAGGAGTCTTTGTACTGGGTGGTTGTATTGCTAGGGGCACTTGATCCTGGGCTTGACCTTCGCGGCTGGATTTGGAGGTGTGGCTAAGTTAGGTGGGGTTCAGTACCCATCCCACCCTGTGCATGGGTAGGACCCATCATTTCTATGCTTCAATGATGACCTTCCTCAGTGTGGGACGCATGCTGCCCTGTAGTGATGCCTTGTGTCTGAGTGTAACTGATCCAGTCTAAACTTTGAGGCAGAATCATCTCCTTATTAAATGAATTTAACATTTAATTAGAATATTGTCAACACAGATTTTATTTTTTCAGTGGAACAGACTTCCTTGATACCTGCATAAAACAGGCTTCTTAATATGGTTTATTAAAAAGGCTTATTAGTCCTTATTAGTCCAGCTGGTCTAAGCGGGGCTACGACCAAAAGAAAACTTTAAACAGAGATCAAATATTTAGGAAGGAAGTGAAAGCAGGAGGCAGCGCTGCACCATTAGTTCTCTTCCTGTGTAAAACCTGCTTTGTAAACAAAACCACAAAAACTATATCTAATTAGAGCCACTTCTGAATAGAAAAGTAAGGCTGTATGATATTTAGGCTTCCCTGTAGCTTTGTTACCAGTCTCAGTACGCGTTTCAGGATTATCCTTAGATGCGCACCAACTCCAATTCCAATTCATAAAATATATGTGAAATAACCATTTAAAACATGCAGCTGAAACCAGGAATACTTCCCCCCCCCATGTAACATGTAAAAAAAGCAGAAATATATATCTTCCCTGCAGGTTATTAAAAGAACATGTTTAAAAAAGAGATTGTTCAATACAATTAGATTCGTTACATTCACTTCATTTTCAATGAGACACAATTTGTCTAAGTGAAACACATACAGAGAAAAAAAAACATGGACAGTAAATGATTTCAAGCAAAGTAATCGCCTGGTACAGCGATGCATTAAAACTGAAAGTCATTGGTTGAGCTACAGTAAACTTTTGAACCGACCAGCTGTGAGAATCTACCAAAACATCTCAGAAAAAAAAGTGAGGTTGGGAAAGGTTTCACAGACCGATTTTAGAAACTAGTAAATGGCTCCAAGAAGTTTTCTACTGAT